TGGCACATTTAGCAGATCCCATTGCTAGGTATATACCCCAAGAAGTTAAGTGATAAAGAGAAAAATCCCCATATACACCAAAATATAGAAGCACTTATACACTTACAGTGTATACACTTATAATGTAATAGCAAAAATTGGAAAGCAGTGGATGCCCCTAGATTGGGGAATGGCTAACAAATTGTGGTACATGAATGTAATGGACTATTACCTCTTGGTAAGAAAGGATGAATACACAGAAACACATAAAGCCTTGGCAAAATGAAGTAAGAAGGACCAGAAAAACAATGTACACGATGACAACAACAATGTAAATGGAAAGAACAGTAACAAAATAACCAAAACTGAACGTTGTGAAATGATCATGATGAAGCTTGACCACAAAGAAGAGGGAAGAGACCGCACCCCTCTCCCTTCTTTGTAGAGTTGGGATGCTGTGGGGGACTGAACACAGTCTATAATGTCAGATTTGTAAGTTGGTTTTGCCAAACTGGCTTTTTTTCCCCCTTGATATAAAGGATGGATCTCTGGGACGTGTAAAATGAAGAGGTTAGGCTAGATGGCCTCTGAGATACCTTGAGTTCTAGCTTCTATGAGGAGAAGGGAAATATGAGTCATATAAAAATATAAACAAAACAATTTTAATATAGAAAAACATTAAACTAATAATTTCTGAGCAAATTTTAAAAAAAACAGCTCTCTGATGTCTTTTCTCATTTTCCTGTTATTTTCAATTTGCCTATGTCAACTTCTGAAACAGATAAAAATTCTAAATGACCCTCAGTCCTGGGCAATATTCTACTGCCAAAGCGCTGACACAGAGTGACCACCAAAGAGGCAACAGAGAATAGCTAAGAAGCACACAACTTTTACATTATCTGCAAACATTAACTGTGGATATTCCATCTGTCCAACAACCAGTTGACGTGCTATGAAACTGAACCACTTATCAATGTTGCCTATGAAATATTAAAACACCCAGAGGAAGGTCTTCAGCAAGTCGGGTGGATCCTCACTACAGGATGTTTGGACATAGAGAGGAATCATTCAGAATGAGAAGTTATGCATATGTACTGTGGAAGGAAGGAGTACTCAAACTGATGAGATCTTAGACTGAGTGAAGTGGCTGTCACTTTACATGTCCCTGTAGTGTTCCATTACACTGATATACCATAGTTTACTTAGTGATTCACCAATTAATGTTTAGGTGGTTTAACATTCTTTACAACTAAAAACTGCTAGATAGATCTTTAACTAGGTATCTGCTGAGAGGCAGTATGGAGTAGTAGATAGCATGGTGTGGGTTCAAATTCTACCTAGCTATGTGACTATGAGCAATTCACTTAAACTCTCTGAACCTCAGTTTCCTTATCTGTAAAACTGCCATCATCACTTAGCAAGCCCTCCTCTTTTGACACTTGTACCATCCACATATATCACCCAATCCAGATCCTGGTGGCAATTATCAACCAACTTCTAGAACATTCTTTCTTTCTTCTTCAGTGAGTCCAGGGACTTGTTCAAAGTCTCTCTCTCTCCTCTCCATCTTCTGCCCTTATAATAGGAGACTTCAACATATTTGATGATGTTCAATCAAATACTCTGACTTCTCAGTTCTTAGATCTTCAGTCTTCAATCACCCAAAAGGATTCCACCTCTATGATCAACAACTCCAAAATTCCTTTATCTGACCATAATCTTTTATTATTTCATCTTTCTTTTTGTCTTATTCCCCCCCTACACACATACACTCTTTTGCCCATACTGCAGTCTTTAATCCCTTCATCCCTCAGTTCTTTCCCAAGCCATCATGCATGCTCGGGCTACCTTCTCCTCCTCAGTCTTGGACTCTTGGTGCACCAATGCAATCTCTATTGTGTTCTGTTCTCATATCCCCTGCACACTTGCCATATTGTTGATCAAGACTTGCTAAACCCCAATCCTACATTACTCCCACCATCTCCTTCCTCCACTCCTATTCACATAAGGCTCAACAGATCTAGAAGAAGTCACATAACCATGCCAACTGATTCACTACAAATGTGTAATCTCAACTACGCCTTCTCTGAAGCAAGGCAGTCCTACTCCTTTATCGCTTTGCTATTCCATTCATCAAAATATGTGTTCCAAATCTTTTCTTCTTAGCAGATTCCCATGGCACCCTTTTCTCCTAATCGTCTCTCCTGAGGAACTGACCTCATACTTACTTGGAGGCTGGTGGTGGTACAATGGCCAGAGTGTGGGCCCTGGTGTCAGTAAGTGCTGAGTTCAAATCCAGCCTCAGACACTTACTGGCTGTATGACCCTGGGCAAGTCATCTAACATCCCTTTGCTTCAGTTTCTTCAAAATGGGGATAATAATAGCACCTACATCCCAGGGTTGTTGTAAGGATCAAATAAGATATATTTGTAAAAAAACACTTCACACCGTGCCTGGCACATAGTAGGTGCCATATAAATGCTGATTCTTTTCCCCTATTTCAGAGATTCAGAGAGAGAGAGAGAGGCAGAGACAGAGACAGAGAGGGAGAGAGAGACAGCAAGAGAGAGAGAGAGAGAGCATTCACTCTGAGCTCCTTCTTCAGTTTTTCTCATCTCATATCCATGACATCATCTCCACTATCTCCTCTTTCATTCAGATCTCTGATTAAGAAGTGGCCCTTCTTTTTGGCAAGACCATCCTCTTTGTATGTCCCTTCATCTCTTCTCCTCTTCTTTTTATTCATGTAACAAGTATTTATTCCATTCACCTGTCCTTCCCACTGCACTTCCCCCCACTGAGCAAATAAAAAACAAATCCCTCAACACATAATTGCATAGTCTTGCAAAATAAATTCCCACATTAGCCATGTCTGAAAATGTATGTCCCTTTCTGCATTTTAAGTTCTTTACCTCTATGGCAAGAAGTGAGTGGAGTATTTCATCTTCATTCTTTTGAACACATAATTTATCATTGTATTGATCACAATTCTAAAGTTTCTCAAAACTATAATATTATTGAATTGTTCTGGTTTTAACTTCACACTGCATCAGTTCATAGAAGTTTTCTGTTTCCTTGCATATTTTCTATTTCATCATTTCTTATGGCACAATAATATTCCATTACATTCATATACTACAATTGTTTAGGCATTTCCAAGAGGAAGATACTCCCTTAGTTTCCAAATTTGTGCCATGAAAAGAGCTGCTTTAAATATCTTTGTGCATATAGATTCTCTTCCTCTTTCTTTGATTTTTTTGGGGGTATAGGTCCAGAAATAATATATAGGTAGGTCTCAATTAGGGCCCATAATTAATTCCACAGTGTTTGCATTGTTCAAATTTTCTCTGAATATTAGCATTGGGCTAGAATCAATTACTATATTTTACCTAATTTTAACTTCATAATGCCAATTCAAATACAACCACTTCACGGCATTCATTATGTGCACTAATGAATGCACTATTTTTAATTAATTTTAATTGATTTTCTGTGGTTGTTTAAGCACACCATGATATCATCTGCAAAATCAATAATTTTGTTTCCTCTTTGCCTGTGCCTATCCTTTTGATTTCTTTCTTTTCTTTTTGCTATCACTGGTATTTCTAGTACTATGTTAAATAGTAGTGAAGATAATAGGCATCCTTGCTTTACCCCTGATCTTACTGGAAAGGCCTCTAACTTTCCTCCATTACATCTCTTGGATTTCAATAAAATACTATGTACTATACTAAAGAAAGGTCCATTTATTCCTATGATTTCTAGAGTTTTTAAATAGAAATGAGTATTGGATTTTGCCAAAAGTATTTTCAGCATCTATTATCATCATAGTAGTTTTATTATTTATATTAACATGACTTATTATATTATTAGTCTTCTTTATTTTGAACCAACCCTGAAATCTTGGTATAAACCCAAGCTGGTTAAAGTGAAGGATCTTTTTAATACGTTGCTATAACCTAGCTGCTAATATTTTATTTAAAATTTTTGTATCAATGTTCCTTAGAGATCTGTTATATCCTTTCTCTGCTTTCTCTCCCTAGTTTATGTATCAAAACCGTATTTGTTTCATAACAAGAGAATTAATGGGTCCCTTCTCTTATTAGGGTAAACAGTTTACTGCCATTGGAATTAGTTGTTCTTCAAATGTTTAATATATTTCACTGTGAATCCATCTGGTCCTGGAGTTTTTTTTCTTTTGGAATTCACTCATGGCTTGTTCCTTTTCTTTTTTTGATATTGGATTCTTTAAATAGTGTATTTTTTTCCTTTCCTAATCTGAGAATTTCATATTTTTATCTATTCATCTGTTTCCTCCAAGTTTAGTTTTGTTAATATGCAAATGAACAAGATAATTTTTAATAATTTCCTTTATTTCCCCTTCAATTGTTATAAGTTTTCCTTTTTTCATTTTTATATGAACAATTTGGTTTCCCTCTCTCATTTTCCAATCAGGTTTTCTAACTCTATTTTATTAGTTTCCTCCTCAAAAAAACAACAACAACAACAACAACTAGCTCTTAGGTTTATTGATCAATTCAATGGCCTTTTTTTGCTTTTAATTTTATTACACTCTTCTTTGACTTTCAGAATTTCAACTTTATTTTCTAGTTGGGGATTTTTTTTATTTCTTTAAGTTTTTTTTTTAATTGCAGAACAAATTCATTAATTTATTTTCCTCTTTTGTTGATGAAAGCATTCAGAGATATAAATTTCCCTCTCAGAACTGCTTTTGCTGCATCCCATAAATTTGGGCAGATTGCCCTATAATTGTCATTTTCTTTGTTGAAATTTTTATTGTTTCTATTGTATTTGTATCCCCAATGCTTATTAGCCCAATGCCTGGGCACAGAGTAAACACTTAATAAATGACTTACCTATCTAAAATGCCCCGCAGCCATTAGGACAGCTGAGCTCACAGAATTATTTGATTTCTTACCTAAACCAAATTCAACATTTTATTTGCTTTAAACTAATCAGAAATTTCAAAATTAATAAATAAGTTTTCCTCCTTTCTTAGTTCACAGAAATCAGCAACCGGATCTTGTCTTCATATGATACAAACATAGAACAACTCTTTTCAGAAATTGATTACTGTATAGCTGCAAATAGAAGCATTCTTCAACAGTTTGAAAAAAGGCGTGATCAGGATATTACAGAAGATGACTGGGAGAAAATACAAATGCAGGTCAGTTTAGAGTTACTGGTTTTTTGTTTGTTTTGTTTTATTTTATTTTAAACCCTAACTGTACTAACTGCTGGTAAGAAAGCAACACATTTTTGCAAGGGAGAAGAGGTTATGTTTTCTCCAACACTGGTGGAAAGCCATTCGTATTTGCTCTCCTCACCCTTCTACTAATTCATTTCCTAAATGGGCTTCCTGTGATAAAAACTCCAGGAAATTGCAGGGTAGATAGGTGGTTCAGTGGATAGAGTGCAGGGCCTGGAGTCAGGAAAGTTTATCTCCTTGAGTTCAAATCTGACCTCAGATTAAGTGTGTTACCCTGGGCAAGTCACTTACCCCTGTTTGCCTCAGTTACCTTCTCTGTAAAACGAGCTGGAGAAGGAAATAACAAACCACTCCAATATCTCTGCCAAGAAAACCCCAAATGGGGTCACAAAGAGTCAGACAGGACTAAACAACAGGAGTTATAACAAAAAGGATCTATAATTCTCTCTGCCTCTCCCTCTCCTCAGGTCCCTAGCCAAAGATAGTGTTCTAACAAAACACTTTAGTATAAAATCTCTTTTTTCTTCTTTCCCCTCAGTTACCTCTTCCCAAATGCATTTCTCACCTAAACTAGCAAGTGCCTGTGGACAACTTTATAAAGATAATATAAACTTGAAAACAAAGAAATGCAAACAAACTTTTCCCAGGCTTAAAGGATGTAGTTTCAAGCTCCCATTAGAAAGTCCAAAGAGAACATGGAGCTATCATATTACAGTCTTGAGGATGTCCAGGCCAGCCCTGCCCCTTCAGGCTGCTTTCTCTATCTGAACTTCCACTCTCCAGGCTCCGTCCATCTTCTTGATCCCTCACCTTCACTCCCTATAGAATCACCTTCAATTCTCAGCTGAGATACTGTGGTGCTCATTCAGAAAGATCACCTTAGTCCTAAGGGACTACCAGAAATCTTCCTTGTTCTGCTCCCTTCGGACCTCATGCCTTTTTGGCTTAGATTTTTTTCTTCAACAATTCTTCCTGGTGAGAGACTCTTATGTTCACTTATGGTGATTATCTAGTACATTTTCCAAATCTCCATCTCTGTAGGCTATGCTACCACCAGGCAAGAGCCATTTACCAAATATCCAAACAACTCTGGGATTCTGGAAGACCACATTTGTTTGGTTATTTGGTTTTTGTTTCTTTAAAACTGTTTCTCCCGTCGGTCCTTGCGTATTAGCAGACAGAGAAAAGGTAAAGAAACAATCTCTGCTCTGAAGACAAGTCCTCAGCAGCCCTGGGAGATGGATATTATTATTATCCCCATCTTACAAATGAGGAAACTGAGGCAAACAGCAGTTAAATGACTTGCCCAAGATCTACAGCTAAGTGTTTGTGTCAGGAGTTGCTCTCCAGCCTTTGTGACTCCACTCCCAACGTTCTATCCACTGCACCACCTAGCAAAAGAATATATTGGAAATAACAACAAGCTTGGAATCACCTTGACTTGAGCATTCTGAACCTCAGTTTCCTCATCTATAAAATGGGGAGGAGTTAGGCTAGATGGTCTCTGAGATCTCTTCCAACTCTAGATCTATGAGTTTATAAGCTTTTACACCAGTAAAACCACAGGGTTTGACCGTTAATCATACCTACACACCCAAAATTATGTACATCATTTTGAGAAAAGTTTATCTAGATTTTTTAAAAATGGCCAGATAATTTGCTTAATTTGATAATTTGTGTGTAGTGTACCCTCTGCTCATCACCAGTGAAATACTAGGCAGTGTTTTGTTTTTTTTTTTTAGAAATTCAAGCCATATTTCAAAAATGATGGGATCTGCCAGCAGATTTTAGTCTCAGTCCTCTTAAAAGTTGTGTTCCATTTTAAGACTGGGTAACTTAATACAGAAATAGACAATGGAAGTTTCCAGTCAGTAAATTTCTAACCTGACTAAACATTAACCTCACAGGTTTGTTGTAAGGAAAGCATTTTATAAACTGTTAAGTGTATAATATTATGCAGTGAAGAATGCCTTATGGATCTTACCAGGTAGGCTATTTCTCGATGTATCTGACTACTGTTTAAATCTTTGCTCAAGTAACAGTCCTTTAAAAATTTTCTTGTTTTGCAGGCGTTTCATCAAGAGATATTTGACTGTTCCATTTGCCTTACACCCCTGTCTTTGAGCAATCATCCTAAGTCTACACCCTCAGAAAAAACGGATAATCAGCATTCCCGGAAGATTGTTCTCTTGTCTTGTTCACACACGTTTCATCACACTTGTCTTCTGGCTTTGGAGGATTTTTCCTTGGGAGAAATATATACTTGTCCACTATGCCGCTCCTATTATCAAAAGAGAATTCTTGAATGTTAAATTTACATTAAATTTATGGTTCTGCTCAAGAAAAATTACATAACTTTAAGAAAAGTTTGTCTTAATTTTAAAAGAATGGCCAGAGATTTTGCTTAAGACTGTACTGTACACAGTGTTCATCACCAGTAAAATACAAAGCAGCATTCATTTTTTTAGAAATTCAAACCATATTTCAAAAATGATAGGATCTGCCAGCAAATTTTAGTCTCAGTTTTCTTAAAAGTTATGTTCAAATTTAAGAATGGGTCACTTAATACAGAAAAAGGAGCAGTTAGACAATGGAAATTTCAAGACATTAAATTGTCAGCATCCTACCAGAAATTAAGATTTCAGATAGCTGTTACGGGGCAGCTAGATAGCACAGTGGAGAGCACACCAGGCCTAGAGTCAAGAAAACCTGAGATCAAATCCTACTTCAGACACTTACTTGCTGTGTGACCCTGGGCAAGTCATTTACCCTGTTTCCCTTAGTTTCCTCATCTGTAAAATGAGCTGGGGAAGAAAATGGCAAATCGATCCAGTATCTTTGCCAAGAAAACTCCAGATGGGGTCATGAAGAGTAGGATATGACTGAAACGACTGAACAACAATTAAACAACAAACTAACTCCTTCCCTACATGGTTCTGATTGGCTCTAAAGAAAGAAGTAGGGGGGGGCGGCTGGGTGGCGCAGTGGATAGAGCACCAGCTCTGAAGTCAGGAGCACCTGAGTTCAAATCCGGCCTCGGACCACACACTTGACACTAGCTGTGTGACCCTGGGCAAGTCACTTAACCCCAATTGCAGAAAGAAAGAAAGAAAGAAAGAAGGAAAGAAGGAAAGAAGGAAAGCAGGAAAGCAGGAAAGCAAGAAAGAAGGCAAGAAGTCAAGAAAAGAAAGAAGTAGGGAAAAGAAAATAGGTTTTGAACCAAATCAGGCTCCCACAGGATGTTTTGCTCTTTCGCGGGACAAAACCAATGGTGGACCTGGGAATGAGCACCATGTCCCAGGACCCCAGAATCCTAGGGATCCTAAGTGTATTTAAGGTAATCAGGGAAGCTGGGTAGGTCCTTGTGACAACCTAGAAAGGAGAATGGCAAGGCTCTGACACTTGTTTGATTGTGGCAACACACACACTCCAACCTGAGGAGGGAGGGTTTTTTAATCCCCCTCCCAAACATTCCTCTGGGTCAAGGAGAATTCAGTAAAGAAGACAACGGCAAGTGGAAGCCAAGGACATTTCTGTGGCAACTCCTGAATTCAGGTGATGATCTGCATCAGGACAATAACTATGAGGGGCCATTACCCTTGGTAACTCCAGTGTACATTTGTAGGAACATGGCCTCTAGGCCAGGGCCCCCACCAAACCCTGCAGAGAGCCCCTCAGAATGAAGCAGGAGAGAAACAACAAAAGACACAGTCTTAGTGACATGCTGAGCAGCGGATGATGTCGGGATACCACCTCTACTTCCACAAATTTGGTTGCTGTTATCATTTACATGGTAAGAAATTCACGTTTTCAAAAATATACCTATATCATCATTATTATTATTATAAGTTCCTAAATTTTCTTTTTTAGTTATTTTTTGTTGTTGATGTTCAGTTGTTTCTGACCCCATTTGGGGTTTTCTTGACAAAGATACTGGAATGGTTTGCCATTTCCTTCTTCAGCTCATTTTACAGAGGAGGAAACTGAGGCAAACAGGGGTAAGTGACTTGCCCAGGATGACACAGCTAGGAAGTGTCTGAGGCCAGATTTTAATGTAGGTCTTCCTGCCTCCAGGCCTTGAATTCTATTCACTACACCACCTAGCTTCCCCCTTTATTAGACACCTGTGTCTTCTTTAAAAACAAAACTTATACATACAGTTATCCCTTCCACATTGCGGGGATTAAGGGCATGGCACCCTCACAATCTGGAAAATCTGTGTAAAATTTTTGGCCCTCTCTTCATACCAAATAAGAAGTCTGATATTAAAAGATAAAATTAAAAGATAAAATATGTTGATATAACACAATTTAGGAAATGTTTTTTACTTGACAGTGTATTTCTAACAAAAAGATACTTTTAAAATGGAAACTCCTGTGCTTGTCATAATTTATACAAGGAAGCATCGTTGCTGTTGTTATTATATTAAGGGATGAAAATATTTTGCAGACATAACTTTTGAAGGATACAAGTTTATTTTTCATTAGTTTAGATATACAGGGTTTTTTACCTAGGACAGTAATGTTCCTTCTTTTATTTAAAAGATTAAAATTGAAGATAAAAGATACCTGATTATTAAAAGATATTATTAAAAGATTAAATGATAAAATATTATTAAAAGATGAAACATGTTGATATAACACAATACTATGCATATATTTTATGCATTTCTGAGTTTCTAAACTTTTTCTGTGTCATCTGCTAGCCTTCACATGTCATCTGCAGCTTCTGCAAAACTCTCAAAAAATTTCTACTTAATTTCTCATGCCAACCTGTGATATATCAAAACCGCAATGGGGAAAGTTATAATGTGGCAGGGATAACTATATAACATGTCCATGCATATTTCACTTGTTTTAGGAAGGAACATTACTGTCCTAGGTAAAAAACCTTGTATATCTAAACTAATGAAAAATAAACTTGTATCCTTCAAAAGTTATGTCTGCAAAATATTTTCATCCCTTAATATAATAACAACAGCAACGATGCTTCCTTGTATAAATTATGACAAGCACAGGAGTTTCCATTTTAAAAGTATCTTTTTGTTAGAAATACACTGTCAAGTAAAAAACATTTCCTAAGAAACTAAACCTTTGGTATATGAAGATCTGCTACCTTATTCAAAATTTTAATCTTAGAATAATTTTAGCTATCCAAAAGTGGAATGGGCAACATTGAAGTCAATGCTTCCTCACTGGAGCTGTCTGAGGAAAGGCTGGTCACTTGTTGGAGATTTTGTAGAGGGTACTATTATTCTTATCCAATTAATCTAATCCAATAAAACAAGCATTTATTAAGCATCTGTGCAAGGCACCATGCTAGTTGCTAGGGATACCAAAATAGAAGTGGTCCCTGCCCTCAATGAGCTTATATTCTACATTAGGTCATTTAAGGAAGGAGAAAACGCAAAGGAAATAGGGGAATAGAAAGTGTGGCCCATGAACTAGGCCATATTTGAAGTTAGAGATTCTGTGAGGAAGAGGGAAGGAAAAACTATTGCAGGAACTTAGGACAAAGAAGCAGGAACTGATAAGCTTGGGGAAAAGGCCAGTTTGCCTGAAACAGAAGTATGTTAAGGAGAGTGGTATGAAATAAGTCTGGAAAAGTAGGCTGAAGGCAGACCATGAGTTTTAAATGTCAAGCTGATTTTGTATTTTATCCTAGAGACACTATGGCATCACTGAACTTCTGAAACAGGGAAGTGAAACAATTATTTGTGCTTTAGGAAGACTATTTTGGCAGACATGTAACTGAAAACTAGGAATCTTTTGCAATACTCTTGGTGATAGATGAAGAGGGCCAGATTTAGGATGGGGGCCACGTGAGTGGGGGGCGATGAATATGAGCTATGTTATAGTGGTAGAATTGATACGCACTGGCAACTGATTAGATAGTGGGGTTTGAGAGGAAACAGTTGAAGATGACTTTAAGGTTACAAACCTGGGTGATTGGCAAAAGGGTAGTGTCCTCAACAGAAATAGGAAAGTTTGGAGGAGGAACCAGTTGGGAGAGAGGAGGGTAGTTCAGGAATAGGGGGCAGTACATAATAAGATCAGTTTTGTACAAGTTGAGTTTGGGATGCCTATGGAGCAATCCAGTTAGAGATATATCACCAATTAACTGCCTGCTGAATTTAGGGCTTAACATATAGATTTGGGAGTCCTTTGCACAGAGATGATAATGGAATCAATGGGTATAGATGAGATTACCCAGAAAGGGGGAAAGAGGAGCTAACACAGAGATTCAGGGACTCAGAGACAGACTCTCCTCTTCCCTCCCAGCTCTGGCTCAGTAGAGAAAAAAAAAATCACCATTATTCTAGGTGGGGCCAAGGTAACTGCTTTCAATAAAGGTATGATAATCTACTCTTCCATGACTAATAAACTCTACTCTTCCTCCTCCTCTCTGAATCCCTGTGAGAACCAGTTAAACCAATTCAGGTTGGATGATGCTTAGACTTCATAACCTAGGTATTACATCAATGTCAGTTCTTATTCATGGTAGGTTAGTAGCTTTCTAGAAGTTAAGGTTAAAAAAAAAACAACAAAAGTGGGGTTTTGATTGATTATAATAGTAACATTACTAATTCCTCTCCCAACTGATTCAATCAGCTTGCATTAATAGAATTATTTTGGGTTGCCAGTAAAATTATAGGGTACTGACCTTTGTTGGAAGAGGGCACTTCCTATGGAGCTAGGCAAATGCATTAGCCCCTTTCTGAGATGGCATAGTTGAGTTCTGATTGGTCTCTGGTGACTGAAGCTGCCTCAAGATTGGCACCAGTTAAGGGAAATTGACTCTTGTTTCTCCCTCAGACTTCTAGGCTAGGGTATGGCAAGGTCGGGGGAAAGGATTTCTCTCCCTTCACATGCAGCAATGGTAATTTAGGGCAAGATGTGGCAGTGGAAGACAGCGTGCTTATCTAGGCAGACAGAAATTCCTAGGCTTTTTGCCTTTTCTTACGCACAGTTCAGTTAACTAGTGATCCTGAGAAATAGATTTTTACATCCTTGGGAGTTGCCGCATGAGAAATCCCTGAATTCAAGATTCCCAAGTTTCAGAGTTGAGTTCTGTTAGTCCAGAGGGAGATTTTCTAACTACCTGCTCTTTGGAGAAGAGGTACACCAATGAAAAGAACCTGTAGCTAAACATCCAAAGCTATTCCAAGGTGGAGCAGGAGATCTGGACTTTGCCAACCCTCTATAATAAAGCATTGATCAGTTAGTTAAGGCTTGCCTATTCTGCAGGCCCATAAAGGGTCTTTACCTTCTGGAGGGAATATAATTACTCTAATGGGCTATTTAAATCTTGT